CAGTAAATAAGATATTTGAGGTTGATTCCCACCCCACCCCCCTGTTTTTCACTGAAACATGCACACAGTTCTATGAGGTGGTCTTGCTGTCTTCAGTCCAAACTTACAAAAGATATTTCCCCTTAAAATGACAACTATTTTTTTTGTTAGAGCGTTTATTAATTTTCCAATAAAAACATCCAAGTAACATTCAAATCATAATCATAGTCCAATAAAAAAAAAAACTAAAATTAAAAAATCCAATTGTCTTCCGAATTTAGTTCTGATTTTGCGGCTTCCCACGGCCTGAACTTCAAAGCAACTCCGAAATCTCAATCCTGCCTCTCGCGATATTTCCATATCCGATTTTATCTCTCCAAACTAAAACCATATGACAACTATTAATGCAATGTTTGTATTTTCAAAAAAAAACAATACTAAAAAAGTACTGCAAGTTTTCTTTACTTACTGAATAAAATTGCAACTTCCTCATATTGCATACACATAGGTAAAGGTAAAGGGACCCCTGACCATTAGGTCCAGTCGTGACTGACTCTGGGGTAGCAGCGCTCATCTCGCTTTATTGGCCAAGGGAGCTGGGGTACATGACTACGCCGCTTCTGGCAAACCAGAGCAGCGTACAGAAACGCCGTTTACCTTCCCCCCCGGAGCGGTACCTATTTATCTACTTGCACTTGCTTTTGAACTACTAGGTTGGCAGGAGCTGAGACCGAGCAACAGGAGCTCACCCCGCCGCAGGGATTCGAACTGCCGACCTTCTGATCAGCAAGTCCTAGGCTCTGTGGTTTAACCCACAGCGCCACCCGCGTCCCTCTATTGCATACACATGTGTATTGCATACACATGCAGCCACACAAAAGAAGAATCTTCCTGTCTTCTCCCCCTCTCTTCCCCATAACCAATCACCAATCCCCCTATTGGGGAGAAAGTGGTAAAAGAACTGCAATGGAACAATGGCCAAGTGTTCCTGGATGGTTCTTGTTACCTGGATCAATCTTGACTTCAAGTATGGTTTTGGGCAGTGCTTTTGTTCTGAGGGGATGCAGGGGGACGCATACCCCTAAACATTTTGTGAATCTTTGTACTTTTTTTCCATTTACTGTACAGTGGAACCTTGGTTCTCAAACTTAATCCATTCCGGAAGTCTGTTCCAGAACCAAAGCATTCCAAAACCAAGGCAAGCTTTCCCATAGAAAGTAATGCAAAATGGATTAATCCGTACCAGACTTTCAAAAACAACCCCTAAAAGAGCAATTTAACTTGAATTTTATTTTCTAACGAGACCATTGATCCATCAAATGAAAGCAATAAACATTGTGCTGTACTATAAAATAAGTAAGACAGTATATAAAAATTAAAATTATTTTTTTTCTTACCTGCACTGATGATAGTCATTGTTTGGATGGGAGGTTTTTATCCATTTCCGCAGTCACACAATCAATCAATCAGTAGCTAAACAGTCACAAATACAAATTAACTGAAAAAGCCTCAAAAACAAAAGCACAAAATAAATAGCAAAAACAAAAACACCAAACTTCATCAATTCCAGAAGTCTGTTTGACTTCCGCAATGTTTGAAAACCAAGGCGCAGCTTCTGATTGGTCCAGGTGCCCTGGAAACAATAGCTGACAACCGCATCGGGCATTCGACTTCTGGAAAAACGTTCAAAAATCGGAACACTTCTGGGTTTTTGGCATTTGGGAACAAAGGCATTTGAGTACCAAGGCATTTGAGTACCAAGCTACCACTATACAGCAGCACTATACAGATTTTTGCCACATCTCAGATGTAAAATTCCCATCCCGGAGATGTCTGCCCCTGTGCTAGTGGTCTTTCAGCACCAATTGAAAAAAAACAAAACCCTTTTCCTTCAGGTTCTTGTGAGCTGAAGGTATTGCCTGGAACCCGAACAGTTGGATGGGTTGCTTCTGCAATACAAAATTGTTTGTAATTGTAATATATTTTATATGATGTTTTGTTGTTTTGATACAGCTGTTTGATCCGTTTCTTTTTCTCGAATTGTTTTTGCAACCTGCCATGGGATCCCAACAAATGGAAGGTGGGCTTTAAGAAATGAAGGTTGGGGGGAAATTATGGTAAATAATAACATTAAAAAGAATAGCAACACAATTGTCCAAACTTACTGATTCAAGGGAAAATGGGAAAAGGAACAATTGCAAAAAAAAATAAAATAAAAAAATATATGGGCCCAATCTATTTGTTAAATTTGCACCCTACCCTTTCACCCAGAGAAGCCCATTATAATGCAACTTTATAGTGTATATGATACAATAATTTAAAATAGATTCATTTAACACCTTTTTGCTGCTAAAATAAAATTATGTGTGATAGTGTTGGTACCAGAGTAATTGTGGACACTTAAGTTTAATGGAGTAGATACTTAAAAATTCTTTAAAATATTAAAGTTTAGGTTTTAATTTTTTATATGATGATATGTTGAATTGTTGGTAATGTTAATTTTGACACATTTGCATAATATTTGTGTCTAGTATGTATATTTATAGAAATGTGTCTACATTTGTATTTTTACAAGCAAAAATAAAAGAAAATACAAATTTCAATGCGTGATACTCCAGAAGCTAATACAACTTTACTGTCATGACGTGTCTGTGAAACCACTGCTGACATGTAAATAATTTTTCAGCACTTTAAAAAGCAGAATGTTAATGTGAATATATTTTGCGGTGTTGTGACTTAGACATGTATGTTGTATATACACTAATAGTGACAATACAAGGTTGTCAAAATGTTTATAAATGTTCCCAGTTGTGTCCAAGATTGAGATTCTGGTTGTGAAGGATGTTGCACCACTCATGAAACGCTTTGTTGCCTAGATTAGAACTCTTTTGTTTGCTATAAGTTTCCATCTCTTGTCTCACTAATTTGGTTTATCCCCCCTCCCCCATCCTGTTCATAACCCATTTTTTCCTTTCCTCATCGGTTGTGCGGTAGTGCTCATGGTTCTTGTAACAGCTTTCATCACTAGTTATAAGGAGAAAATGCTTAGTTAGACGTAGCATCAATGTAACACAAATACATTGAATGCTTTTAACGATGGGTGTATCTGAATTGCAAATATACATATTATGGACCACTAAGATATATGAGAAATGTAAGCAACCCTGACGAGTGCTTATAGAAAACTCTTAATGAGGTTATGATTGAATCAAATTCACTGTAAGCAGCCTAATGGTTTTTCAATTCTGCTTCCTCTACTATGGGTCTTTTTTTTTTACCGCAAACCCTTTCAGCCCATATTAGGTTTCTTCAGGTTTATGGCATCAACATGAATAATTTGAACTAAGATGTCTCTCAGATAAGAAAAACCACTTCCTTAATAAAGAAGTACTACCATATCTCTATGATTGAGAGAAATGTTGTATACTGTAGGGCATATGAATCAGCGGCAGGCGCTTCATCTTGAAATGACTTGCATGGCACGATTCCATATACTTCACTTTTCCTCACTATCCGAAAGAAACTTGTGGCTTCAGTACCACAGATCTCCACGTGAGATGCGGCAAATAGATTGAGAATGCGCTTGGCGCTTCATCAGGGTTGTACCATCTGTCTTACGGCAGGGATGGGGAATCTGTTGCCCTCCAGATGTTGATGAACTCCCAACTCTCATCAGGATGGCTAATGGTCAAGGATCATGGGAGCTGTAGCTCAGTAACTTCTGGACAGCCTCGTCCCCTGGTGTATTGTAGGTCGCCACTCAAAATCTGGTTGGTGGTCAGAGATTTGCCGTATTTTTTGCTCTATAAGACTCACTTTTTCCCTCCTAAAAAGTAAGGGGAAATGTGTGTGCGTCTTATGGAGCAAATGCAGACTGCGCAGCTATCCCAGAAGCCAGAATAGCAAGAGGGTTTGCTGCTTTCACTGCGCAGCAATCCCTCTTGCTGTTCTGGCTTCTGAGATTCAGAATATTTTTTTTCTTGTTTTCCTCCTCCAAAAACTAGGTGCGTCTTGTGGTCTGGTGCGTCTTATAGAGCAACAAATACGGTATTTATTTTTTAATGGCAAATTAAAATCCAAATATTACCTTGGACCTGTGAAAGTCTTCTAGGTCTGCATTGACGCTCTTCCATTTTTCTTCAGCTTCTCCTATTGTGTTGGGCCAATTGTGACATTTTTGACAGGTTTTTGGCACAGCGTGTTGGGTTCCGAATGGGGTTCCTGCGGTGCACTCAGAACATGCTGCACGGTCCTTTGAATGGCCTGTATGTCTTCACTAGTTCAGACTTAGTATCCAATGTAAGGAACGGATTTTGGAGGAAGCTGGTTCTGTTAACAACAACAATCTGCTAAACCTGCCTTTAGTGTCTTCTCTCCAAGATTTGTCCCCACGCTTTGAAGTAGCGAGTAACCAAGATGAAATTTTTCTTTCCCCTTTGCATTCACCACTTTCATAATATGTTTCCCAGGTCATAGGTAAAGGTAAAGGTACCCCTGCCCGTACGGGCTAGTCTTGCCAGACTCTAGGGTTGTGCGCCCATCTCACTCTATAGGCCGTGGGCCAGCGCTGTCCGGAGACACTTCCGGGTCACGTGGCCAGCGTGACATTGCTGCTCTGGCGAGCCAGAAGCCGCACACGGAAACGCCGTTTACCTTCCCGCTTGTAAGCGGTCCCTATTTATCTACTTGCACCCGGGGGTGCTTTCGAACTGCTAGGTTGGCAGGCGCTGGGACCGAACGACGGGAGCGCAACCCGCCGCGGGGATTCGAACCGCCGACCTTTCGATCGGCAAGCCCTAGGCGCTGAGGCTTTTACCCACAGCGCCACCCGCGTCCCCCGGGTCATACACATGAATAATTTTTAAAACGAATATTTGTCGGTTTGTGCTTTAATACTGCACAAATCATACGCAAATCTTGCAAGTGTTCTTCTTCTTCTTATCTTTAAAAAGCAAATACTTTTCCATTTATCGCTATCTGGGATTTTTCACTTTAATATGTTTTGTATCCTTCCTTTGCAGGATGGACGGCTGCGAATAAATGACCAGCTGATTGCAGTGAATGGGGAATCCCTGCTTGGAAAATCCAACCATGAAGCTATGGAGACCTTGAGGCGTTCTATGTCCATGGAAGGAAACATTCGTGGGATGATCCAGCTAGTGGTTCTCAGAAGGCTGGACAGGCAAACAGAAGCAGTATGCAAACCATTTGTCTCTGTTTATGCATTTATGGGAGATGTGTCCATCATTGTGTAACAGCCGCTGTGAGGAGATGGGGCTGATTCGGTTGACATTGCTATTATTTTCCTTTGAAAATTCCTTTGGAATATTATTACAAAATCCTCTTAGAACAAGAGCAACCAGTTAGTATTGACATTGGGTGAATAATAATAATAATAATAATAATAATAATAATAATAATAATAACAACAACAATTTATTTATTTATTTATACCCCACCCATATGCCTGGGTCTCCTCAGCCCCTCTGGGCGGCTTCCAACCAAATATCAAAAAGAATACAGGGCCATACATTAAAAACGTCCCTAAACAGGGCCGCCTTCAGGTGTCTTTTAAAAGTAAAATAGTTGTTTATTGCCTTGACATCTGCTGGGAGGGTGTTCCACAGGGCAGGCGCTACTACCGAGAAGCATAACACTAAGGCATAGTTTGTTATAACCATGGTTTGTTCAAAGAGCAAGTAACCCAAGAACCAGTGTCTTGCTTCTTCTAATGTTGGATTGTCTCCTCTACAAATATCTGGCTCCTATCCCCCCCCCTAAAATTGTGGTGGTTAAGGACTGCCACTGTCTTAATATATTACCAGTTCTCCTATCATTGGCCAGCTGCAGACCCCCCCCCCCTAGCTCTTTGGGGACTCTACTTTTATCAACTCCAGTCTATTAATTCAATACATTGTCCTGTATACAGGATGGAACTTGGGGTATGAATGGTTTTGGAAAAAATAATTTACAAATTGTGAGAGGAGCTCCAGAATACAATTGCAACCCAAAATGACTGGGCAACCAAAGGAGGTGTTCTCCATTTAAGGGATGCTGGTGATGCTGTGGTCTAAACCACTGAGCCTCTTGGGCTTGCCGATCGGAAGGTTAGCGGTTCGAATCCCCGTGACGGGGTGAGCTCCCGTTGCTCTGTTCCGGCTCCTACCAACCTAGTAGTTTGAAAGCACACCAGTGCAAGTTGAACAATAGGTGCCACTGTGGTGGGAAGGTAAACAGCATTTCTGTGTGGTCTGGTTTCCGTCACGGTGTCCCCTTCTGCCAGAAGCAGTTTAGTCATGCTGGCCACAAGACCCGGAAAGCTGTTTGTGGACAAACGTTGGCTCCCTCAGCCTGAAAGTGAGATGAGCGCCACAATCCCATAGTCACCTTTGACTGTACTTAACTGTCCAGGGGTCCTTTACCTTTTACCTTTTACCCTTCTCCATTTATGAATTTTTAGGCAAACAACCACCACTAAATTTATTGAAGTCTACCTGTTTTTTCAATAACTAAGCACTGTGGTTTAATGGGGGAGCACTAAATCTTACACTTTACTCTGTTTACCATAATGTTTATATTGGAATAATAATAAAAAAAGTCCAGTAGCACCTTAGAGACCAGCTGTTTGTTCTGTGTATATTGGAGAAACAGGACAAAATATCACATAGGGATATTTGTAATTCTTATTTACTGTAGTGCAACAACAGGGGCTGTTCATGCAGAAGAATGGACCTGTTGTTGTTGTTGTTTAGTCGTTTAGTCGTGTCCGACTCTTCGCGACCCCATGGACCAGAGCACGCCAGGCACTCCTGTCTTCCACCGCCTCCCGCAGTTTGGTCAGGCTCATGTTTGTAGCTTCGAGAACACTATCCAACCATCTCATCCTCTGTCGTCCCCTTCTCCTTGTGCCCTCCATCTTTCCCAACATCAGGGTCTTTTCCAGGGAGTCTTCTCTTCTCATGAGGTGGCCAAAGTATTGGAGCCTCAACTTCACGATCTGTCCTTCCAGTGAGCACTCAGGTCTGATTTCCTTAAGAATGGATGTGTTTGATCTTATTGCAGTCCATGGGACTCTCAAGAGTCTCCTCCAGCACCATAATTCAAAAGCATCAATTCTTCGGCGATCAGCCTTCTTTATGGTCCAGCTCTCACTTCCATACATCACTACTGGGAAAACCATGGCTTTAACTATACGGACCTTTGTTGGTAAGGTGATGGCTCTACTTTTTAAGATGTTGTCTAGATTTGCCATCGCCTTTCTCCCAAGGAGCAGGCGTCTTTTAATTTCGTGACTGCTGTCACCATCTGCAGTGATCATAGAGCCCAAGAAAATAAAATCTCTCACTGCCTCCATTTCTTCCCCTTCTATTTGCCAGGAGGTGATGGGACCAGTGGCCATGATCTTCGTTTTTTTGATGTTGAGCTTCAGACCATATTTTGCGCTCTCCTCTTTCACCCTCATTAAAAGGTTCTTTAAATCCTCCTCACTTTCTGCCATCAAGGTTGTGTCATCTGCATATCTGAGGTTGTTGATATTTCTTCCGGCAATCTTAATTCCGGCTTGGGTTTCATCCAGCCCAGCCTTTCGCATGATGAATTCTGCATATAAGTTAAATAAGCAGGGGGACAATATACAGCCTTGTCGTACTCCTTTCCCAATTTTGAACCAATCAGTTGTTCCATATCCAGTTCTAACTTTAGCTTCTTGTCCCACATAGAGATTTCTCAGGAGACAGATGAGGTGATCAGGCACTCCCATTTCTTTAAGAACTTGCCATAGTTTGCTGTGGTCGACACAGTCAAAGGCTTTTGCATAGTCAATGAAGCAGAAGTAGATGTCTTTCTGGAACTCTCTAGCTTTCTCCATAATCCAGCGCATGTTTGCAATTTGGTCTCTGGTTCCTCTGCCCCTTCTAAATCCAGCTTGCACTTCTGGGAGTTCTCGGTCCACATACTGCTTAAGCCTGCCTTGTAGAATTTTAAGCATAACCTTGCTTGCTATTTGTAATTCTTATTTACTGTAGTGCAACAACAGGGGCTGTTCATGCAGAAGAATGGACCTAAGCGACCCTATATCAGAATTAACAACTGTACCTTTGATGTATAGTTGTGTTCAATTTTTATCAACAAATTAGGGTCCTGTTGGTTTTCTGAAACAGGATCAATGGCCTTCACTTACATTTTTTTTCCTTCAGATTTACCAACACCCCACAGTTGAATATCCTATTGAAATCCTGTACTAAAAGCTGTTTGAGTCCCCCTCCCCCCAAAAAAATTATGACTATGTACGTATGAAATGCACCCACACTTCTAGCACGTTCTCTTCGAAGAATATACAACCAGCTCTTTATTAAATCAAACTCATTTTAAACATAAATTAATTTTTATAGGATGTGCTTGCAGTTCAATTGTAATTCCATTTGCGGCTGAAGACTATAGTGAAATGGGGCATGACCCTTTCCTTTTTCCTTTACCTGCGCTACCTCCCTCCCTGCTGCATCCCAGCTTAGTACAGCAGGATATGTTTAAAAATCCATTATTTTCTTATTGGCTGGGACACTAATGGAACCTTTTCATGACAGCTCTGTTTCACTAGCTGAATGCTCTCTAATTAGGCAGCGTACTGATCAGTTGTTGAGCTATTGATTCTGTTGTTTATCAGAGAGCTAGAAAAGCAGATTTTCCACCACCCCAGTTGCCATTAATTTACAGCTGCCTCTCCTATAAGATATCTGTGTTTAGTAATAGTTAGCCCCTGTGATGTATTCAGAATTCTCCATATAAGAGAATTTGGGAGTTGTATTGTAAAGGTTTGAGAACAGAATCTGCTTTCAAAGAAAAAGTTGTTTTTTGGGGTGTCGGGTGGAATTCAGTACCACTCCGTGATGAACACTCCATCTGCACAAGCAATTCCTAAGGAAGTTAGATTAGCCTCAACCAGAGCCAGGGCCTTTTCAACACTGGCTCCAGCCTGGTGGAACACTCTGCCTCATGAGACCAGGGCCCTGCGGGATCTGATTTCTTTCTGCAGGGCCTGTAAGACAGAGTTGTTCCACCTGGCCTTTGGCTTGGAGCCAATTTGATTCCCTCCCCCTCTTTCTTTTTCCTTTCTCCTCCTGTGAAGAGGCTGCATCCTAACGTTTTAATGTTGTAATTTAATCTTTTTTAAATTGTATTTTAATCAACTTGTTTTTATTATTGGTTGTTAGCTGCCCTGAGCACTGTTCTGGGGGTTCTCTTAAATCCCCTGGAGCCAATTTGGGGGGATGTGGTAGGAAGGAGGTGGGAAGCCCCGTGTCAGCAATAAATCAAATGGCGTCAGTTCAATTCCCGTATTTTTTCCATGTATAAGACGCCCTCTGTTTTGGGGGACTCCAAACTAAGAAAACACCCCTCAGCACTACCCGTGTATAAGACGAGCCCCAATTTTAAACCTAATTGTTTTTGTTAAAAAAAACTAGTCTTATACACGGAAAAATACGGTAACTCTTCAAGGAAACCAGGTCTGCTTAGGAGGCCAGGCCTCGTGAGCACAGCAACTCATCCCAGTAGTTCTTGCATGTATCAGGCAGTTGTGGGGACAGAAGATGCCTGCCTTCCCACAGTTGTCTAAGTCTCTTCCCCACCTCCCAGTCCTTCTCAAATCTGAGACTTTGCCTCCTTGCCTGTCTTTGCTCTGCCCTCTTTATATCACTGTGGCTTCTGGGAGACCAGCGGGGAGAGGAGCTGGTCGCAGCAGGAGGGGGAGACCCCTTGGCTTCTTCAGCAGTCTGCCTCTTGGACCTCCTGCTCTCCAGCTTCTGATTCTGGACTGATCCAAAGACTCTTCCTGCTCACTAAACCCTGTTAACTCCTCAGCATCCGAAATCTTGTCCTCCCGCTGACCACTCATCATTTTCCCACCACCACTCCTTGGGCTCTGAGCCTTCTTCTCTTGGGGTTCCCCAGCTGGCACCTCCAGAGAGCCAGCGTGGTGTAGTGGTTAGGAGCGGTGGACTCATAATCTGGTGAACCGGGTTCGCTTCCCCGCTCCTCCACATGCAGCTGCTGGATAACCTTGGGCTAGTCACACTTCTTTGAAGTCTCTCAGCCTCGCTCACCTCACAGAGTGTTTGTTGTGGGGGAGGAAGGGAAAGAAGATGGTTAGCCGCTTTGAGACTCCTTTGGGTAGTGATAAAGCGGGATATCCAATCCAAACTCCTCTCCTCCTCCTCCTCCTCCTCCTCCTCCTCCTCCTCCTCCTCCTCTTCTTCCAACCAGTCCTCAGCATCCAGCCAGTCCATGACATCCCATTGTCCTCTTCTTTGTCTCACTCTACAGAATTGCTGAAAACTATCCGCTTGTCTCTTTTATTTCCCTCCCAATGTATTTGACTTCTTAGCTACAGTCTTTGTTTCATTCCCAATCTTAGGTTAATTGTTGTATTCTGTCCTCCTTCCAGACTGTCCAGGCTTGTATCACATTTTCCCCTACCTTCCAACTCCCCTCGGTTTTCTAACAATTTTTGAATTGCGAGCCTATCAACAGTGACTTTTTTATCAAATAAAATAAAATAAATGTGCAACACCTGATACATATTAGGTACTTTATTAACTGCTTGGGTCATATGCAATCAGAATGCACAAAGGCAGACACAGGCAAATAGTTACAGTGGGTTGGATCCAGACTAAGCTAATGTAATGTAATTTCCTCAGAAATCAGTCGGACTTAGGTCATGATTAATTTATCCCACTGATTTCAGAGGGAAACAAGTTCAACTAACTGTCGTTTGGCTGTAATTCCAACCCATTTTGAAATGGTCTAAAAGCTTTAATGAGAATATATATATATATATATATATATATATATATATATATCCCGCTGAAAGTAATTGCACCTTGAAAGCAAGATCTACTTCGCCTGTGAATTCAGATTTGCGAAATAGAGGCCAAGTTGGCATGTTTTTGCAAATAGTTTTGAATGAAGGCAGGGTGCTTTTAATAGACACGGATGTGAGGGAATCGTATTCAGGTTTTTTTGTGTTTTTTTTTTTACAGTAGAACAGTTAATTAGTCCTTCAAAACTAATTCTGCTTAGTAAATTGTTTATTTTTACAAAGCAAATGTCAGAACGAATTTGGAATTGTTATTGATGAGCGAGAGGGAAACTTTGAAAAGCCAAAGGGTTTGCCATTTACTTCCAAAGCCATTCTGGTGTGCATTCATTACAGAGCATATGTGGCAGCCACTGAGAGAAGGGAACCAGCTGGCTGTCAGAAAATTACCATTGGCACAGTTTTTTCTTGTCTTGACAAGGCTACAAGCTGCCTTCACAGATGGAGTAATAATGGGAAGCCAGTTGTGGTCAGAAGAAACGCTATTCTGCATTCTGCTTTTGATGGGCATAATCAGGGACTGTGCCGGATATGCTCCGGTTTTCACTTTCAGGCCAAAAATTTGTTGTGGTAGAAATATTTTCCAAAAAAACCACACATTTGGAGTCTGTGAATATCCATCTTCTTTTCCCCAGTCCTGGTTGGTGCCATTGTTTTTCCTGGATGCTGCTACTTCAGTGCTTATTGTTCCCCGAATGCCTTTTCTTTTCTGAATCACTCGTAGGTGATCACAGCTAATCAGGAATGGTGCCACAATATTATGTAGCCAATTATGTAGCCAGTTCTAACTGATGTCACTGAAGGCAGGATAGCCATTCATGCTGCCTACATGAATACAGTGGTACCTCGGGTTACAAACACCTCAGGTTACAAACTCCGCCAACCCAGAAGTAGTACCTCGGGTTACAAACTTTGCCCCAGGATGAGAACGGAAATTGCGCACCGGTGGCGCGGCATCAGCAAGAGGCCCCATTAGCGAAAGCATGCCTCAGGCTAAGAACAGTTTCAGGTTAAGAATGGACCTCCAGAACGAATTAAGTAACCCAAGGGACCACTGTAGTGGGGTTTTTTGCAAGGAGTGCCAAACATAATCAGATGAAGGGGGCATTTTGTTGCAGAAAACATTTGCAAGGTGCTGGGCCTTGCAAGGCAAGGCTGAGATCCCCAACTCTGCAGTGAGGGTCCTTTTGGAGATTTAGAAAAAGGAACTTCACGTCCCCCCCCCCCACATTGTGTTTCTTTACATAACATGCACACACATTGTGATTCACAATATATTGCCATGTTATGAAACTGTTACCACGATGTGGGCTTTAAACTTGATTTGGATGATGATGATGATAATAATAATAATTATAATTATAATAATAGTTTATTTATACCCCACTTATCAAGCTGGGTTTCCCCAGCCACTCTAGGTGGCTCCCAACAGAATATTAAAAATACAATACCAGCCTTACTAGGGAGGTAAAGGTAAAGGGACCCCTGACCATTAGGTCCAGTCGTGACCGACTCTGGGGTTGGGGCACTCATCTCGCTTTATTGGCCAAGGGAGCCGGCGTACAGCTTCCGGGTCATGTGGCCAGCATGACTAAGCCGCTTCTGGCGAACCAGAGCAGCGCACGGAAACGCCGTTTACCTTCCCGCCGGAGCGGTACCTATTGATCTACTTGCACTTTGATGTGCTTTCGAACTGCTAGGTTGGCAGGAGCAGGGACCGAGCAACGGGAGCTCACCCCGTCGTGGAGATTCGAACCGCCGACCTTCTGGTTGGCAAGTCCTAGGCTCTGTGGTTTAACCCACATCGCCACCCATGTCCCTTACTAGGGAGAGCAATCCACAAATGGGGAGCTCCTGTAGAAAAGGCCCATTCTCATGTTGCTGCTCTCTGGACCTCTCGTGGTGGAGGCACACAAAAAAGGGCCTCAGATGATGATTGCAGGGTTTGAGTCAGTTCCCAGATTAAGACTGCAGTGACATCATACCACCTCAGTTTAAGGGGCATTAAAGGACATAAATATGGTGGCTTCCAACTTGAGGATTCTAAGGAGGAGGAGTAGCTCTGCCACAAAACAAGAAATGGCAAAGAATGGGCAGAAGAAGTAGGTCAGATATGTCCTTCTGCCCCCTCATCTTCTTTTTCCTAAATTGGGGTTGAGAGGATTTATGGCTCAGCCTCAAATGCAAAGAATGGGATTCTTGGATACAGTGGTACCTCAGGTTAAGTACTTAATTCGTTCTGGAGGTCCGTTCTTAACCTGAAACTGTTCTTAACCTGAAGCACCACTTTAGCTAATGGGGCCTCCTGCTACCGCCGCTGCACAATTTCTGTTCTCATCCTGAAGCAAAGTTCTTAACCTGAAGCACTATTGCTGGGTTAGCGGAGTCTGTAACCTGAAGCGTATGTAACCTGAGGTACCACTGTATTTGCTGCAGTAATTGGGATCATTAGCTAGTGGATTAAATTCTAGGACTCCTTTACAGCTGGATATCTCTTTGTTTCTTCATCAATGACTATTGATGCCTTTCTTTTTTGAAAGGCTGTTTTACTGTTTTCAGCTCTGAGCATTGATAATATGCAATAAACACTTCATAAATAATGTACAAATTGAGTAGCAGATAGGGAGACTGATATATTTCGTGCGATAGTTGGCCCTTTTTTACATCAATAAATGTGATCCGTCTTCCTCATAGGAGACTGCTGGACCATTTCCAAAACTGGATCTTGAGGGAAACGTTAATTTTACAACCATTCCGAGACGGAGTGATGCTGCTGTCCAGTGTTTTGTATCATGCTGCCCTCAGGAGAGGTTGAAAGGTGAGCATTGCGCATCCTACTTTAACTTTTGCTTTGAACCTTTTTTTGTGTGTGTCTTTTTGGTGGCGCTTTGTTTTCAGAAACTCTTCAACTTCGAAGGCAATTAATTAGAGTAAGTGCAGACGTGAAGATTTCAGGGAAGGTGGAAGAGCTGACTCAGAACCCGCAAATTAGATTCCTGGCACAAATTCCACTTTTTAAGTGACAGTTTCTAGCTTGCTGGCCCAACACATAAGACTGGATATAAAACAGTTACAGGTGGAAAGTGTAGCTGTAGTGTTTGTTTCCTAAAGTTCTTCATCCCTATGTTCTTAAACTTGTGTATCTGGTTTTAAGGCGGTGCCCAGTGTTGCTTTTAGTGACTTATGGATGTATTCTTAGTTATTTGTTTTTAATATTTTTCTTGTATTGTTTGCCAGTGCTACTTTTCTAGAAAAAGAGTTGCCACAACTCACAACAAATGCTTCCCTTGTTCTCTTATAATGGCAATGGCATCCAACTGAGTTCTGGCTGAAAAAAAAAGCCCTGTTGTTTGCTTTGTTAGATGTAATCCACCTTAAAAACTCTGAATTATATTATTATTGTTGTTTACAAAATACATAGAAGGGACGCAGGTAACGCTGTGGGTTAAAGCACAGAGCCTAGGACTTGCCAATCAGAAGGTTGGCGATTCAGATCCCCGCGGCGGGGTGAGCTCCTGTTGCTTGGTCCCTGCTCCTGCCAACCTAGCAGTTCGAAAGCACGTCAAAGTGCAAGTAGATAAATAGGTACCTCTCCAGTGGGAAGGCAAACTGTGCTTCCATGTGCTGCTTTGGTTCGCCAGAAGCGGCTTAGTCATGCTGGGCACATGACCCCGAAGCTGTACGCCGACTCCCTCGGCCAGTAAAGCGAGATGAGCACCGCAACCTCAGAGTCGGTCACGACTGGACCTAATGGTCAGGGGTCCCTTTACCTTTATCTTACAAAATACATAATACAAAATAAAAACAAGAACAAAACAAACCGACAATCCCCTCCCATTTCAATAACAGTTTGCTGAGTCTGCTCGCATAGACGTATGCAAGCCCAAACAAGGCAGTTCTTGGTCTTTTCCTTTTATTCACAGAAATTATTTATTTTTATTTTCTACTGTAGCTGAACACACCTATCCAGCTTGGCCATATTGATGCTGCTTGATCTCATGTAGGAGTGTTTGCAGCCAACCGACATTCAGCGAAAACCAGTCTGAGTATGCAGTATGGGGAAGAGCAGGGAACCTTTGGCTCTTCACAGGCTATTAGAGTACATATGGCAGGGCTTTAAATTATTTGAATCAAGATATCAATAAATTAATATGAGTGTGAAGGTTGCAATTGTTCATATAGTTGTGTTGATTCAAAGGGTATTGAGCTACAGAGGTTAGCTTGCATTTATCCATAGATTGCAGATTCCAGCAGTATGGAATATAGAGAGATGATCTCTAAAAAAGTTGGCCATGTTTGCACATAACTCTAAGCCAATTATGTCTGAGCACAACCATCAGAAACTGCTTGCTTTCCAGGGAAGTGATTGCAGCCATTTTGCTCCTAAAGACAACCATTTGCCACAGCGTCAGCAGTAGTTCTGCATACGCTGTTCCAATGCACGCATGGAGCCCCCGATTCAAGCGAGTGGGAACATTTTGCTTGCTATTGAGCTCTCATGCAAATAAGGACCTGCTGGTTTGTGGGGTCTTCCTTTGAATGTCATGTGGTGTGATCTGTGGCGGCTGTGGCTGAGAAGAGAGGGAAGAATTGATCCTTAAAATATTAGGTAAGAATTACGTAGGCATATGTAACTGAACGAAGAAATTGCATTTGAGGTGGAGAGGTCCGGACTTCAGTCTTTGGCTTTAAGGCCTAGTCATACTAACTTGGTGCATGCCATAGTGTAAAGGTAAAGGTAAAGGTAAAGGTACCCCTGCCCGTACGGGCCAGTCTTGACAGACTCTAGGGTTGTGCGCTCATCTCACTCTAGAGGCTGGGAGCCAGCGCTCTCCGCAGACACTTCCGGGTCACGTGGCCAGCGTGACAAGCTGCATCTGGCGAGCCAGCGCAGCACACAGAACGCCGTTTACCTTCCCACTGGTAAGCGGTCCCTATTTATCTACTTGCACCCGGGGGTGCTTTCGAACTGCTAGGTTGGCAGGCGCTGGGACCGAGCGACGGGAGTGCACCCCGCCGCGGGGATTCGAACCGCCGACCTTTCGATTGGCAAGTCCTAGGCGCTGAGGCTTTTACCCACAGCGCCACCCGCGTCCCTTATGCCATAGTGAGTTTCCTCAAATAGAGAGTTTAAATGTTTACTTAATGCTCCTGGTACTCTTTGTAATGTGCTTCTATAAACCCAACGCAAATACACAGGTCCTCTACCAACTCACTTTGAGTTTTAAAAGAAATCTAATATTCATGTAAAAGAGAAAATATAAATTATAGATTTTTATATAAAAAAACACTGCTAAATGATATTTAAAAAACAAAACAAAAAACAAATCTGCTCTTCCTATGGGTAGTTGCATAAAAGAATCTTTAAAATCCAATATTGAAATGCGGGCATTCAGTCTATTTTTATATGAATAATCTAATACTTGCCACCCAGAGGTCCTCAGTTTGTTCCTCTGCCAAACTGTTGTGCAGAGACAGCATTTTATTTTAGTACAACCTCTTCAAAGAAGTCTTACTTCAATGCCAGCAATTTCACATTTCTGTTGCTGAAAGATTACTGGAATCTGCCTCATCAGAAGGTTTGTAACTTCCCAAAAAAATTACCAGTCTGCCAAGGGATTTGCTGTCATCTTTGTGGCTAAGTAACAGGTTTTTGTTCTAATGTTTGCCCTAAGAAATGGCTCTGAAAATTAAGTGTAAGCAAGAATACATTACAGAGAGAAATGTTACTTCATACCAAGGCAGTGAATCAAATAAAGAATTTTAGTTGGTTAATCATCTATCACATAAGCAATTCATTAATAATTACATTTAAATATGTATGTTATCCTCCCCTCATAATAAGGTGGCTTTTCCAGATGTTAAGGTGAGTATAAGAAAACACAGAATTTACTTCTTCTTTTTTAAGCCAGCCATTCATTCTAGAATATAAGGCTATATTGAATATTTTTCTTCTTCATTGCCTATTAGTCAATACACTGGAATGGAAATAGCATATCTTTAACTTGCAGTTCTGCTATTAAAACTGGTTCCCACAGATTAATCAACTAAAGCTTTGGTTGATTGATCTACCAACTGAAAATGACTACAGCTTGCAATCCTCGTTATAAAGGCAAAACTTTTTCCAGCCTCTGTTTCATTAGTCTACAGTCATACTATTAATGCCAGATGTCATTAATTCAGATTAATTTATGCATACAGGAAGTCCCATTGTGTCAGCACAGTTCATTTTGCCCCCTACTGGCTTGCCTTGACCAAAAAAAACAAACAGGACTGCCGTGCATTTAGGACATATTAATATGATGTATTAGCATTAATATTTCCAAAATAACGACATCCATTTCTGTATGTTTAAGTTAATGACCGCTTTCCTCTTTTGTAGAGAGGGTCTTCAATTTCTCCAGAAGCTCTCGGCTCATTTTCAAATTACTTCAGCTCCATATCAAACCACTTGATTATAGTGATAAATCACAGATTGAAATAGGTTCTGGTGTACAGTCTTAGCTCAGGATAACAGATAATATAAATAAGCCTTAGGTCATGAATACAAGTTTTTGTATAATGGTTCACGAACGCGTCTGCCTGTGGCAACCAGAAATTTAATTCTGGCAAGCAGCAGAGAAAGACTTTCATATACGCTCAAGTATACATGAGTGGTAAATGTTTTAAAAGCGACTAGCAACACAGATAGAGTTCCTCCTTCAAATCTGCTATAAAAGTTGTTTAGATTATGGGGTGGTAGTCAATGAAGTTTTACTAAGAGTAGGCCCATTGAAATTAATGAACCTAACTGCCTTGGTCAGACCACACCTAGAATGCTGTGTCCAGTTCTGGGCACCACAATTTATGGAGAACCTGTGCAGAGAAGGGCAACCAAGATGATCAAGGGTTATGACCAAGCTTATGAGGAGTGGTTGAAGGAGCTGGGTATGGTTAGCCTGGAAAAGAGGAGACTGATAGGAGGTATGATAGCCATCTTCAAATATCTCAAAGGCTGTCACATGGAAGAGGAAACCAGCTTGTTTTCTTCTGTCCTGGAGGGTAGGACTCAAACCAATGCCTTCAAGCTGCAAGAAATGAGATTCTGACTAAACACCAGGAAGAACTTTCTGAGGGTAAGAGCTGTTCAACAGTGGAACGGTCTCTCTCGGGATGTTAGAATAGAATAGAATAGAATAGAATTTATTATTTATACCCCGCCCATCTGGCTCGGTTGCCCCAGCCACTCTGGGCGGCTTCCAGAAAACATTATAATACAATAGTCTGTTAAACATTAAAAGCTTCCCTAAACAGGGCTGCCTTCAGATGTCTTCTAAAAATCTGGTAGTTGTTCTTCTCTTTGACATCTGGTGGGAGGGCATTCCACAGGGCGGGTGCTGCTACTGAGAAGACCCTCTGCCTGGTTCCCTGTAACTTGGCTTCTCGCAGTGAGGGAACCGCCAGAAGGCCCTCAGCGCTGGACCTCAGTGTCCGGGCAGAACGATGGGGGTGGAGACGCTCCTTCAAGTATACTGGACCGAGGCCATTTAGGGTTTTAAAGGTCAGCACCAATACTTTGTATTGTGCTCAGAAATGTACTGGGAGCCAATGTAGGTCTTTCAAGACTGGTGTCATGTGGTCTCGGCGGCTGCTCCCAGTCACCAGTCTAGCTGCCGCATTCTGAATTAGTTGCAGTTTCCGGGTCACCTTCAAAGGTAGCCCCATGTAGAGCGCATTGCAGTAGTCCAAGCGGGAGATAACTAGAGCATGCACCACTCTGGCGAGACAGTCTGCGGGCAGATAGGGTCTCAGCCTGCATACCAGATGGAGCTGGTAAACAGCCGCCCTGGACACAGAATTGACCTGCGCCTCCATGGACAGCTGTGAGTCCAAAATGACTCCCAGGCTGCGCACCTGGTCCTTCAGGGGCACAGTTACCCCATTCAGGGCCAGGATAATCCTTCCTTGGAGGTTTTTAAGCAGAGGTTGGATGGCCATCTGTCATGGAGGTTGGAATAGATGACCCTTGGGTCTACAGTTCTATGAATCTATGGCCTAGCCCCAATTTGTAGATAAGAAAGAGAGAGAAGATAAATGCCCAGACAAATGCTTAGAAAAGATAAAGGCCTGTTGGTGTGCTGCAGCTATGCACCTATTGAATGTTTTATTCAATCCTTAGTTCAGTGTATGTTTGGTGTGTGAGAGACTATCCGCTGAAATTAATAAAACCAATATAAACTTTGACTCTATTCTACCATAAGGAGGATTTCAATATGTTTATCTTTAATTATGCATGTTCAAATGGAAAAATCAGGTCTTTTGAAAATCCTAAGGGATGCATTTTCTGCTTGGTGTAATTTTAATTCTAGTTTGGCTAGTTTGGAGATTTTTTTATAATTTGTTATTAGTTTCAAGAGACATGCGGGTTCGGTTCTTGATCAGCAAACAGACGTAATGTATTTGTGGTGCCGTAGTTTATCACTCCTCCTCTCACCCCTTTAATTTCAGAGCTTTATACATCTGAGAGTGGCGTTGCTGAAAATGAAATCCCACCCCCTTTGCCTCCACATCCTTCTGATGAGCTGCTTGCAGATTATAATCAAAGGTTTGAAACTGCTTACTATTTATAACTTTATTTTTGGTGATAGGATTGCTTTTCCTACACGATATGTAAAAAAGCCCACATGTTGCTTTATGACATTTAATTTGCATCAGAACACATTTATTTATTGCTTAGATGTAGTTTTTTTTCTAATCTTCAAGAGTTATTATGGTATACATTAGCACCAACATTATCTTCGGTTGAGGCTAATAATGTCCCCCACTTTGCTGGTATTCTTGAATGGGGTTTGAAACTGGTTAAGAATCTTAGTTAAGTTAAGTGAAATGATTTATAGATGGTATTTAACAGAGTTGGTTGGCTAAGATTTATAAAACAGAATCAGATATGTGTTGGAAGTGTAAAGAAGTTGAGGGAATGTTTTTTCGCATGTGTTGGACATGTAAAAAGGTAAAAGTGTATTAGGAAATGATTTATAATGAATTGAAAAAAATGTTTAAAATTACTTTCCCCCCCAAAACAGAGTCCTTTTTGTTGGGAATAAGTCAGACAGAAATTTCGAGGTGTCAGAAAAGGTTATTTATGTATGTAACAACTGCAGCCCATGCAGAAGCCGAATCCCAAGATTATGTAGGGTGGTAGGCACAGACAGAAGCAGAGCCATATCTGTCTGCATACCTTTTCTTTTCTTTTTTTTTTTTGCATACATGATTTTTATTAATTTACACCATAACAAACAGAAATAAAAAAGATCTACATCTTGTTATCACGAATTTCTTTCTTTAGGACTTCCTTCAGCCTCTCCACAAATCATCCGTAACCTTTTTTTAAGAAATTACGCATTTCCTACTTTATATTGACATTGTTTGACTCCTTTCTTCCATTTCTCTTTTGACAATATTCCTACCTTTTTCACAGAGCTCTTTTAAACCCCACTAGCGTTATCTGCCCTTCACTTATATTTTCCAGATACTCCGCAAATTTCCCCCAGTCATCAATGAACCTTTGGTCTCTTAAATATCTGATTTTCCCCGTCAATCTATCCAACTCCGCGTAGTCTAACAATTTCATTCTCCATTCCTCAACTGTCGGTATTTTCTGTTGTTTCCAATTTTGGGCTAGCAGGACTCTTGCTGCAGTTGTTGCATATTGAAACAATTTACAATCGTTATTCTTTATCTCCCTTCCTAATATTCCTAACAGGAAAGCCTCAGGTTTTTTTTCCCAAAAGTATATCTTAAAATTCTCTTCATTTCATTATATACACTTTCCCAAAAACCTTTTACCTTTTTGCATTCCCACCACATATGGTAGAAGGACCCCTCTTTTTCCCTGCATTTCCAGCATTTGTTACAAGTTTTATACATTTTTGCTAATTTTGCAGGGTTTATATACTATCGGTGAAACATCTTCATTAAGTTCTCCTTCAACGTTATACAAGCTGTAAATTTAAGATTTTTTCCCCAAAGTTTTTCCCACTCTTCATAATATATATTATGACCAATGTCCCTAGCCCAGTGTATCATCACCGACTTTACTTCCTCGTCTATCAGATTCCACTCTAACAGCAGATTGTACATTTTAGATAGAATTTTATGGTCATTATTTATTATTTCAATCTGGAATTTAGAATCCTTATCAGCATATCCTCTGTCTTTAATATCTTTCCTGAACATTTCATTTATTTGAAAGTAGTGTAACCAATCAAATACTTTTTCTTTAACCTGATTGTACGGTTTCATTTTCCATTTCCCCCCTTCTTTAAATAGCAGTTGTTCGTAAGTAATCCAATCGCCTCTCATATTGGTCTTTTTAACACTCATAGCTTCTAATGGGGATAGCCAGTGTGGGACTTTAGGTTCTAATAGATATCTGTTCCTTTCCCACACTTCGATCAGAGGACCTCTAAAGATGTGGCTTTCGAAACCCTTATGGATTTTCTTCTTCTCATGCCATAAATACGCATGCCACCCGAATCTTTTGTCGAATCCCTCCAAATCTAACACTTCCTTTTTTTCCAATTTTATCCACGTTTTCAACCAGCAAAGGCACGATGCCTCATAATATAGTTTCAAATCTGGCAGGGCAAACCCCCCCCCTTTCTTTTGCATCTGTTAGGAGTTTAAACTGAATTCTCGGCCTTTTGCCCTGTCAGACATATTTTGAGATCTCTCTTTGCCATTCTTTGAATATCTTAGTGCCCTTAATTACCAGTATATTCTGAAACAAAAACAACATTTTTGGGAGCACATTCATCTTAATTGTAGCTATCCTACCCCAAAATGACAGTTTCAACTTCCCCCACACCTCAAGGTCCTTTCTTATTCCTTTCCATACCCGCTCATAGTTATTCTTAAATAAATCTATATTTTTCAGAGTTATCCATATTCCTAAGTATTTCACCTTTTTGGCCACCTCTATCTCTGTTTGTTGTTGCATTTCTTCGGTTACACTTAAGTCCATATTCTTCGCCATTATTTTAGTCTTTTTCTTATTTAATTTGAAGCCAGCCACTTTGCCAAATTGTTCAAGTTCTTCCAGTATCTCTTTTATTGAACTCGTCGGGTCTTCTATTGTTATTACCAAATCGTCTGCAAACACCTTGACTTTGTATTCATTTTGGCCAATTGTTATCCCTTTTATCTTCTTATTTTGTCTTATTGAATTTAAGAGGACTTCCAACACTGTTATAAACAACAATGGAGAGAGTGGGCATCCCTGTCTTGTTCCTTTCGCTATCTTTATTTCTTCTGACACCACATTGTTTATAATCAATTTCGCCTTTTGCTCCGTGTAGATTGCCTTTACTCTATTAAAGAATTCTGTACCAACCTCCATATATTCTAGATGTTTTAACAAAAAATCCCAAATTATATTGTCGAATGCCTTCTCTGCATCTACGAACATCAATATGGCTTGCTTATCACACCTGGCAGACAGATATTCTATAATATTTCTTATATTTCTTATATTATCTTTCATTTGCCTGCCAGGCAGGAAGCCCGCTTGGTCCCCATGGATGTTTTCTAACAATATATTTTTCATTCTTCTCGCCAGAATTCCTGCAAAAATTTTATAATCTATATTTAGCAGTGAGATTGGCCTATAATTTTTAACTTGCAATAGATCTGAATCCTGTTTTGGAATTAATGTGATAAATGCATCTTTCCATGTTTCTGGTATTTCTCTTTCTTTTAAGATGTTATTCATTACTTCTTTCAATGGTGTCAACAATACGAATTCCATTTCTTTGTAGTAACTAGCAGTGAATCCGTCTGGACCTGGGGCTTTCCCTCCTTTTAATTCTTTTATTACTTCTTTTATTTCTTCTATCTCTATTGGGGTATTCAATTGCTCTTTTTTCTCTATCGGGATCTTCTGCACCTTTTTTTCTTTCAAAAATCTTTCTATTTTCCTCAGATTGTTTCTCTCTCTATTTTTATATAGTCCTCTATAATAATCCAGAAAAGCTTTCCTTATTTCCTTGGGGTTAGTTATCTCTTCTCCATCCACTGCAATTTTATTTATTGTGCTTTGTTCCTTTCTTTTTTTAATCTGCCATGCCAGCAGTTTTCCTGATTTGTTTGCAAATTCGAAACTTCTTTGTCTTAGTTTTTTAATATTCCATTCCACTTCTCTGTTTATTAACATTGCAAACTGGGATTGCAAAACTTTGATGTTTTCTTTTATTCTCTTATTGTTAGGCTTTTTGACTAATTTTTGCTCATTGTCCATTATCTGCTTCAAGATATCTTTTCCCCCCTTTTCTCTTCCTTTATTTTTGATAGCATTCTGCTGGATGAAAAAACCCCTCATCACTGCCTTGCTTGCATCCCACACCACCTTTGTTTTTGTACCTTTGTTCAAATTATCCTTAAAATATTCCGTCAGCCTTTTCTGAGCTTTTTCAACAATTTCTTGGTCGTCCAGAAGGTAGTCTTTCATTCTCCATCTAAAAATTCTTTCTTCCAGACCTTTCAGTTCCATTTTTATTGGGTTGTGATCAGAGATCATTTTGGCTTGGATCTCTACCCGTAGAATTCTTGGTGTTAATTCGTTCGAAATCCAAATCTGATCTATTCTGGACATTGACTGGTTAGGCTCGGAATAATAAGTGAACTGTTTTTCCAGTGGATGTCTAAGTCTCCAGATGTCTATCAAATTACAGTTTTTAACCAATGAGAAAAAAGTTCTAGGTAACTTCCCTTCCTTACCACTTCCGTCTCTGAGTCTATCCATTTCTAATGACACCACCCCATTCATATCTCCCAATATTATCATTTTCTGATCTACATATTCGGATAATTTTTCTTCCAGAATTTTATAAAACTCAGACTTTTTACCATTTGGTGCATATATCCCAACTTTTCATTGCAATCTCTCAGGCATGCCCAAATCCCCAAGTGTGACTCTGGCCTAATGTTCTTCCAATGACAATTTCCCTTTTCCCCCTAATTTTATTAAGTTTTACAATTTTATATTCAACAGAATCAACCTTATCACAAAAAGAACATGTAAATCCCAATCTCCCTACCCACCCACTACCCTTCCACGACTTCCCTCAACCTCCTTTTTTGGTTCTTTAAATATTTGCTTCTCCTGCCTATTGTGTTCTACCTTAATTTAGCTAAATATTGTTGCATCCTTATCAATTTTATACCATCCCCCCCCAAAAAAATTTCATCTTACGCTTTGTTCTTTCCCCAATTGTTGCACCTTGACTTTTATGTCTGTTTTCTCAAACCCTGCTATTGAGTCCATTTCTTTACAATGTTTCTCTAAGTACACCATAAATGGTTCCCAATCCTTTTTAAAGTCTCTCTTGTCCTTGCCTCTAAGTTTCCCAGTAAGATTCGCCATTTCAGCGTATTCCATCAATTTTACTTGCCATTCTTCTTTCGTTGGCATCTTGTCATCTTTCCATTTTTGGCCTAGTAATATCCTAGCCATTGTTATGGCATACATAAATAGTTTCTTCCACTCTTTTGGCAAGTCTTGACCAATAATACCTAGCAAAAAAGCTTCTGGTCTTTTAACAAAGGCTGCCTTAAACATTCCCCCCCCCATTTCATTATAAATCATTTCCCAATGACAATTTTCTTAAGGAAGCGGTAGAGATCTGAAGAAAGTAGCCTCCTTCTGTGCCTTGCATATGCTTGGAAGGGGAATTTTTTTGTAATTGAAGTGAGAGAGGATACCGTAGGGAAAGTTTTCCAGAAATCTGTTGTCTGCTGCATCTGGTGCTGTCAGTGATTTTAAAGATTTGCCTGAAACTGGGAAGGATAAAATGTAATCTCAGCGTCTTACGAGTTTGGGCTTTAGTTTGCTTGATATTTGGATAATCACATACCTGAACTTCGGAATGAGGCATGTTGTGTGGCACCTAGCAGCTAAATGCATTTCAAAAATAACTTACATTGAAGATATGTATTAGGCAGTAGGACTCTTTTCTGCCTTTTGATCCTTGGTGAACCTTTAATAAGCCTTATTAATTACTGAGATGGCCCGCAAAGTGGACAGACGGGATAAAACCTGCCTTTTTCCCCTCTGGTTATGGCTCTCCTAAGTAAAATCAGATTTAATAGAGGCAATAACTCATGTAAGAAATTTAAATTGCATCATAACAGAGAAGGGAAAATTCGTTTATATTTCATAGGGTTTAATTACTTCATTTGTTTTTGAGCTGGTGCCTATTTTATTTCATTCTGTTTTATTTGTGGTATGGCTTCTTTCCACAGCTCAGTCGCAGATTCAGCAACATACTTACGAGATCAGCACATCAACTTCAGATCTTTGACACTGGCCAAGCAGACAGAATCAATTAATCTGAAAGCCTCCAAAAGCATGGATCTTGGTAAGATGGGGTGGGGAGATACTAATAATTCTTTTTAGCCTCATCATTTATTTTCTGTTTTTGTTTCTTAAACATGCATAAAAGGTAAAGGGACCCCTGACCATTAGGTCCAGTCATGACTGACTCTGGGGTTGCGGCACTCATCTCGCTTTATTGGCCGAGGGATCCACAGCTTCCGGGTCATGTGGCCAGCATGACTAAGCCGCTTCTGGCGAACCAGAGCAGCGCATGGAAACACCGTTTACCTTCCCGCCTGAGTGGTACCTATTTATCTACTTGCACTTTTGACGTGCTTTCGAACTGCTAGGTTGGCAGGAGCAGGGACCGAGCAACGGGAGCTCACCCCGTCGCGGGGATTTGAACTGCCGACCTTCTGATTGGCAAGTCCTAGGCTCTGTGGTTTAACCCACATCGCCACCCGCGTCCCTTTAAACACGCATACATTGGAAGAAAAACGTTATTAGGGCCAAACAAGGAAACTTTGCAGGAAATGCAGGAGAAATTTCTCTGCATTTTATTTTTGCTGAAAGCTGCTATGGAAGTCCCAGTTTATCAGAAATGACTCAGTTTCTCCTGCTGTTTATCTGGTCAAAATCGCCACGCAGGTATGAACAAAGCCACTGCAATACATTGCCTCACTTACCCATCCTGAACACTTAATCCAAGAGGATAGTATGGTCAGTGGTATCAAAAGCAACTGGGTGATTGAGTAACCGATACATACTCCTCCATCCCCTTCTCAATAAAGGTCATCCAGAATGGTGACCAAGACTGATTTCGGGGGAAATCAACCTCAGATACCTTATTTACTGCAATGTCTTGCACAGGTTTAATTTCCCTACCCAAAGTGATACTTAGCCAATGAGAAAGGAACAAGGTACAATGTGCATCACATGGGGGACCCATCTGTCAATACAGCATTAAAAAGTGTGCCACATGCAAGGAAATTATGAAGAAGACTTAAGGCAGGACAATTGCAAAGTTTATCTGTGAAATGTATGTGTCTAAATGCTCGTTGAACTGGAAAGAGAATTTTCTTCCAGAAATTTAAAATAGCTTTAAAACTGTATGTGACATTTGTCTGCCTTGGGCGGGGAAACTTCATCAATAAGAACAACTAATAAGAACTTGGGATGTGGTGGGTTAAACCACAGAGCCTAGGACTTGCTGATCAGAAGATCGGCGGTTCGAATCCCCGCGACGGGGTGAGCTCCCATTGCTCGGTCCCAGCTCCTGCCAACCTAGCAGTTCGAAAGCACACCAGTGCAAGTAGATAAATAGGTACCTCTCTGGCAGGAAGGTAAACGGCGTTTCCATGCACTGCTCTGGTTCGCCAAAAGTGGCTTAGTCGTGCTGGCCACATGACCTGGAAGCTGTACGCCGGCTCCCTCGGCCAATAAAGCGAGATGAGCGCTGCAACCCCAGAGTCGGCCACGACTGGACCTAATGGTCCAGGGGTCCCTTTACCTTTACCTAATAAGAACTTACAGGCGCGCCTCCAGGGATGAGGCTCCAGCTCCTGGGATGAAGGGCAAGAGAACATCCCGGCGGTTCCCGGCTGTCAACCTTCGCACCACTGCCCCTTCTCCAATCAGGCATGGCTCTTTCCTGGCCCTGTTTGGCGCAGGGGGAGCGGCCAAAGTTTTCTCCCATTAAAACAGCCTCTCGAGTTATTTCAGAGAGGAAGGAGACTTTGGCTGCTGCTTCTGGGCTAGGCCGGCCGGGAGGGAGCCAAGACGCCCGTACAGACGCCAAACGGGGAGAGCTTATAAGATCAGGGAGGGAAAGACTCTGCCTGGGAGCCCCTCAAAGGCCTCTTGCCTCAGAGGATCTCCCGTCTGCACCATTGTGGCTGCTGCCAACACCTCCCATAAAAAGAACAGGGCCACGCTTCAAGAGAATGGTCTCCGGCACCAGCACCCAAGCTATGGACAAGAGCGAGACTCCATCTTGCCTTTCTGGATTGTATTGTCCTTCCAAGTCGCTGAGGGAGTCCATGCTGCTCGGTGCCTTGCCTGTCTTTTGGGATGCCATGCATGCTGTTTGAATGTGCCAGTCCCTGACAAGAGGAGAAGTGCATTGTTGGCATAGGTAGGTAGGTAGGTAGGTAGATAGATAATTTATTACGGTCAGAGACCAGTTTATAAAGCACACTTGGGGGTACAGTCACAGAAGAAAAACAAACAATTAAACAATGTACAACAATAAATTTAAAAACAATGTACAACAATAAACTACTGCAGGGAGTTGACCCTGAGTCACCCATGGAACCGAGTTTGGGGATTTTCATAAGTTGGGAGATGGTCTGCGCCTACAGATCTGTACACAGAATCTGGCGACCATCCAGGTTGTCTTCTGATCTTTGCCTAACAGGAAAAGGTCGAATTTTTGCTTTTCTGGGAGGTCGGCGAGCCTCACCAGTAGGTGATCAATGGTCTTACTACGTGCCTCTTCATAAAAGGGACATCTAAAGAACAAGTGTTCTGGGCTTCCTATCTCTCCCAATGAACAGGCGCAAAGTCTCTGAGCATATGGGACTTTTTAAAAGGCTCCTTCCAGGACCGACGAGGGCAGAGCCGAGCTTCTGGCAAGTGTAAAGGCCCTTCTTGCATTTCTAGATACGAGAAAGAAGAGATATGCTGCCGGTGCGGCTATATCTCTCTCAATTTCTCCAATTTTATAGTCGGGGCACCTTGAGCAGTCCTGTTGTCTCTCGGTGTCTATGATTCTTTGCCTGACTGTAGCTTTTGCCTGGCCCAACCCAGGCTTAGAAGGGCTTGAGGGGCAAAACCCTCACTGGCATAGGTTAAAGCTCAATAAAGAAATTGAGGGGGAGAGAACTTACGGGCTCACTTTTACATATATGTGATTGGCGGCAGCATTGCACCTTGCTAGCTGTTAGAGCTGTGCAAAATATATTAAAATACGGCACAAAATAGTTTCCACCCTGTAAGCACAGCATAGAAGAATTTCTTTGGAGATTGCTTTCTGTGGAGAAAGGTGGTGTATCCTTTGCACGCAGTTTATTGTGGAATGTAGCTGGATATTTCAGCATAGGCTTTTGTTTTGTCTCCCGCTAGAATGAAACCTGCAGCATTCTGACCATTCAGAGGCAATGTGATTCTTGTTGTGTTTTTTTTACTTGCCTGAAACATCAGAGTCTTAGTCCCTCTTTGGTATTTCAGGAAGAACCACAATTACCACAGTAGTACATATGTTTAGATCGCAGACAGTTTTTCGAGGGTGAACTATACTGCTAACTAAAGTTTGTAGAATGGCTTCAAGATTATATCTGCCCTATGTTGTTTTTTTATTTTTTAAAAATTGATTTTAACATATAAATTATAAAATGTACCACAAAACTTATCACTTATACAATCTTTTTGGACTTCCATCAGCACCTCTGATGATCCACCGTTTTAACCACTTCTTATGCATTTCTTAACTTTATATTGCCTTTACATCTCTTAACAAATCATCCTTCCCCTTCTCATTTTTGCAATACTTCCAATAATACTCCTCACAAAACTTCTTGCAAACCTACAAACGTCATCTGATCTTCACAAATACTTTTCAAGTAGTCCGTAAATTTACTCCAGTCTTCCGTGAATTTCTAGTCCCGCTGGTTTCGAATCCTTCCTGTTAGTTTATCTAGTTCTGCATAGTCCATTAACTTCATTCTCCATTCTTCAATCGTCGGTAATTCTTCTTGCTTCCATTTTTGGGCCAGTAATATTCTTGCTGCTGTTACTGCATAGAAAAAGAGCTTACATTCCTTTCTATTTATATCACTCCCCACAATGCCCAGTAAAAATGCTTCTGGTTTCTTTATGAATGTATATTTCAACATTTTTTTCATCTCATTATATATCATCTCCCAGAAGCATTTCACCTTTTTACATTCCCACCACATGTGATAAAATGTTCCCTCTTTTTCTTTACATTTCCAACATTTATAACTGACTTTATACATTTTCGTTAACTTGACAGGTGTTATATACCATCTATACATCTGCCCTATGTTGATACTTCTCGCTGGCAGCAGTCCTGCTTGAAATGTTATAGGAGAGCCAGGTTCCTTTTAGACTACCACATTTCTCTGTGGAGAACGCATAAGTGTGTAGGCGAGACTATTATGGGTCCTGGTACTGGACTACACATTGTGCTATGTTTGTTACAGAGATCCATTGGACAACAGAAAAAGACTGAATGTGTGAAACTGCCCTAACTGCAAGAGAGCAATTACTATATCCAGTCTTAAGATTGGTTATAACTTGGATAAAATCAGATGACTGCTTATCATATTATTATTGTATTGGGTGCAGGTGGCGCTGTGGTCTAAACCACTGAGCCTCTTGGGCTTGCCAATCAGAAGGTCGATGGTTTGAATCCCCACAACAGGGTGAGCTCCCGTTGCTCTGTCCCAGCTCCTGCTAACCTATCAGTTCGAAAGCACACCAAAGTGCAAGTAGATAAATAGGTACCACTCTGGCGGGAAGGTAAACGGCGTTTCTATGCACTCTGGTTTCCATCACGGTGTCCCATTGTGCCAGAAGCAGTTTAGTCATGCTGGCCACATGATCCAGAAAGCTGTCTGTGAACAAACGCCGGTTCCCTCGGCCTGAAAGTGAGACAAGCGCCGCACAGCATAGTCGCCTTTGACTGGACTTAATCATCCACAAGTCCTTTAGCTTTTTACCTTTTACCTATTACTGCATTAATGCACCCCACAAAACAGTTCTACCCATGTCAAGAGCTGGTGGTCTGTCTGCAGCAATTTGGAATAATTAATTACAAAAGAAGCAAATGCACATATTTCAAGTGAAGAAGGGGAGTGAAGTCTGCTAATTTAAGTGACCTCTACGAAAGAAGACGACGATACACGAAGATACACCAAAGGCTGGGTATGTTGATAATGGGACTGAATGGGGGGGGGACCTTTTTTACTTTCCTTCTATGTGATTTACAAGAACCCCTCCTCATTAGAATCGTCGGTTGAA